CAGTTCTTAATCATTTCCTATTCTTTAGGTTTCAAAGTTGAACTGTTTTGCCTGTTTTGTAACAGCTTTGTTGAGATATATAATACAGATGCCTGTATGTTAATAGTTACGTATATATTACATGCAGAACTGTATATGATACAGTTTTAGGACATTTCCATCACCCAAAATGATTCCTCATGACCCTGGTTGGTTCCTGACATCATCATGAGCCCCAGGCAACCACTAATCTGCTCTCTCAATCTCTGTAGTGTGGCCTTTTTCGGACCATCATAAGTATTTTATACGTCAATAATCTGGTTATGAGACAAACTAAGGGCCTCTGCAGAGGTGGCTAATTACCAACGATGAATAAATCAGGTGACAAAGGAGATCTCATATATATTATGCAAAGTGATTCTTAGCTCCTTGCTCAATTTATGTCTTTTATTTTTTAAAAGATTTTATTTATTCATGAGAGACAGAGAGAGAGAGAGAGAGAGAGAGAGAGAGAGAGAGAAAGAGGCAGAGACACAGGCAGAGGGAGAAACAGGCTCCATGCAGGAAGCCTGACATGGGACTTGATCTCGGGACTCCAGGATCACACCCTGGGCCAAAGGCAGGCGCCAAACTGCTGAACCACCCAGGGATCCCCTATGTCTTTGTTTTCCTTTTTTTTTTCTTTTTTTATTTATGATAGTCACACACACACACACACACAGAGAGAGAGAGAGAGAGAGAGAGAGAGAGAGAGGCAGAGACACAGGCAGAGGGAGAAGCAGGCTCCATGCATCGGGAGCCCGATGTGGGATTCGATCCCGGGTCCCCAGGATCGCGCCCCGGGCCAAAAGCAGGCGCCAAACCGCTGCGCCACCCAGGGATCCCCTGTCTTTGTTTTTATCTCCTCCCCACCCCTCAATTTTAATGATGTAGGAAAAGGGCCATATCTAAATAGTTTTTTATAAACACAAATGCATATTTGGGACCCTAGAACTGTGGATCTAGTTCCTTATACCTGGTTGGTAGATCTTTAATGTTGGGGGGGGCAGGATAAGATTTTGGTGTAGATTGACTTACCTGCTGTGAAATTAATAACTATTTAATATTATTTAAATAATCACATTTCTCTAAATATTCATTCAATAACTAAGACCCCAAAACTTAGAATTAACAATTTAGATTTCCCAATCATTTAAACACTTACTGTAAATTTATCACTTTTACACGTTTAATTAAAATCTTAGGTCTAATACATCAATTCCATAAATGCCTTTAACCACCTTAAAAGCAGTTTTAAGATTATGTACAAAATGTTTGGGTTGCCTGGGTGGCTCAGTTGGTTAAGCATCTGCCTTCAGCTCAGGTCATGATCTCCAGGTTCCGGGATCGAGCCCCACATCTGGTTCCCTGCTCAGCAAGGAGTCTGCTTCTCCTTCTCCCTCTGCCCACCCCACCCCCAACACTCATGGTTGTGCACTCTTTCTCTGTACCAAATAAATAAATAAATAGAATCTTTAAAAAAAAAAAGGTTTAATTACAAAACTCCTTCAGTTTTCTCACACCAAACTCATTCACAGAAGTCTTAATATAAAAAAATGTCAATTTTTTTTTAATCTCTTTTTTCTTACTTTTATTCCTCCTCAAGGGATTATCTTAGCCTGCTTGTCTAGCGGGCAAGGTTACCTTCTCTGACTGTGTTTAAGGATAGTGGTGGCAGGCAGTGGTTCAGGGTGCCGACTTGGATGTGCCTTTCCAGATGGTGTCCTGCATCTGTTACCTAGTGTGAGAGGCCCTCCCCTCTCTGCGGGTAGACTTTTTCCATTACAGTAGGTATTTCCAAAGTACTGTTTGTGACCACGGAGATGAGTTTTTTTCCTACCCCCCAAAATACTTGTCCTAAGCGTTTTTTTCCTCTTCATAACATTTACTTAGCTTAAAAGACTAGATTTTTTTATGTTTATTCCTGGGCCATACCTCTACCCATTTTGTTAATTCTAGGACTCATATTTTTTTGCATTTTAATACTCTAAAGTTGGAATTTCTGTTTGATTTGATGTGCTAAAATACCATGTTATATTTTAATTGGTAGATTCGTTATGGCACATATCTTAAATGTGTTGAAAACCACACTTAAAGGGGACCCCTGGGTTGCTCAGCAGTTTAGCACCTGTCTTCGGCCCAGGGTGTGATCCTGGAGTCCCGGGATCGAATCCCGCATCAGGCTCCCTGCAACCAGCCTGCTTCTCCCTCTGACTGTGTCTCTGCCTCTCTCTTGCTCTGTGTCTCTCATGAATAAATAAATACAATCTTAAAAAAAAAGAAAACCACACTTAATTTCACGAAGCTTTGTCTGATTTATGCCTGCTATCTCAGATTGTGGTTTTGACTGGCCTGTTTATGATTTTGTCTGTGAGCTTATTCCCCAAGGAGGTTGTTTCCCCTGTGAGTCCCATATATGCCCTGTCCATTTTGTGAAGGTTCTGTGTCTGCTCAGATCAAATAAAGTACACCTGCTCCAGTCCCCGTGTCTCAGCTCAGGTTTCCTGAGCATGACTGCACATCAGGTTCAAGCCCTCTTTCACACATGGTGACCCTTTCTGCTCATGGCTTGTTCATACCCATGGCTCCAGGTTGGCAGGCAGGTTTTCTGGTTTTTTGATGGGGGACAGAGGAGGGGACAGTGCTTTCATGGCTCCTAATGCTCCCTGCTCATTGGGGCTTATGCCTTGATCCCCTGTCACTTCTTACCAGCCCCAGCCATCGTGTAATTCATGTGGAACATTCTGCATTGGTTCTTGATGGCTTCACTTCCAAATTTGGGAATATGGGGTGGGGTCTCCGACCCTCTCTCTTCCCTTGTGGCCAGTAAGGTAAGGTTCTTTGTTCTTATGTTACAGAAACTCCTGTGTTTTTCAGTGCCTTCCTCCCCTGCCCCTTCTCTCCCTTTTGTGTCCTAGACCTCAGATCCAAAGCATTGAATTTCTCTTGCTCAAATTCATGGCACGCTGGTACCATTTCTTGCAGGCAGGCCCTCTCTCCTGTTTTTGACTGTTTCTCTCTCCATTTTACAATTCCCACTCTCCTCCCTTGAGGCACCCTCTCTGTGTTTAGTGTATGTCTTTTGCTTTGCATCTTCAAGAAATGCAAAGTGGTTTTATTTTTTGGCTGTGTGGATGTTTATATTTACCTAATAGTATGATAGTTTAAATTTCTTTTTTTCACCATAAACTTTTTTCACTTGGCCTGGAGATTGGCAGACCACCCTACAAAGCAAATCCAGCCACAGCTTGTTTTTGTAACTAGAATTTGATTGGAACACAGCCACACCTAATCATTTGCACATGCCCATGGCTGTTCTTGTGCTGCTACAGCAGAGTTGAGCAGTGGCGACAGAGACCATTTGGCCCATGACGTTGAAAATATTTACTATTTGGTCCTTTATGAAAAATGTTACTGACCTCGCTGACTTAGCACAATATTTTATTGTTTTGATTTAAATTGTAGTGAAGTATATATAACATAAAGTTTGCTGTCTTAACCATTTTTAAGTGTATAGTTAAGTAGTGTGAAGCACATTCACATTGTAGGGCAACCATCACCACCACTCATCTCCAGAACTTTTTCATCTCACAAAACTGGAACTCTGTTCCCATGAAGGAGTAACTCCTGCTCCCCCTCTTTCTGTCCTCTGTTGACCACTGTTTCATCATTCCACCTTCAGTCTCCGAGTTTGAGTCCCTTTGATACCTCATGTAAGTGGAATCTTACAGTATTCCTCCTTTTGTGTCTTAGCATAGTGTCCTCAGGGTTCATCCATGTTGTAGCATGTGTCAGACTCTCTTTCCCTTTTAAGGCTCAGTAATACCCCATTGTGTGTGTGTGTGTGTGTGTGTGTGTGTGTGTTTGTATGTTTGTATTTCACATTCTGCTTATTCACTCATCTGTCGATGAACATTTGGGTTGCTTCCACCATTTGGCTCTTGTGAATAATGCTGCTATGAACATAGGTGTGCAGATAGCTCCTAGAGGTCATGCTTTCAGTTCTTTTTATGTATCTTCAGAGGTGATACTTTGGATAATATGATACTTTTATTTTTAATTTTTTTGAGGAACCATATCACTTTACTTTCCATAGTGGTTGCACTGTTTTAGATTCCCACCAATAGTACACAATGGTTACAACATTATCTACATCCTTACCAAGACATACCATTTTCTGTTTCTTTTTTAAAGAAGCCATTTTAATGATGACATCTCACACATCCTTGTGAGGTATCATTTATTGTGATTTTGATTTGCATTTTCCTAATGATTAAGGATGTTAAGCATTCTTTCTTGTGCTTGTGGCTATTTGTATATCTTATTTAATTTTTTTAAAGATTTATTTATTTATTCATGAGAGAGATAGACTGAGAGAGAGGCAGAGACTTAGGCAGAGGGAGAAGTAGAATCCTCATAGGGAGCCCGATGTGGGACTCAATCCTGGGACCATGCCCTGAGCCGAAGGCAGATGCTCAACCACTGAGCCACCCAGGCATCGCCAGATTCTGTTCTGTTGATGGTGTTTTTTAATGCACAGAAGTTTTAAATTTTGAGAGTTGAAAAGATCTATTTTTACAATCATTGCATGTGAGCAGTATATTTTCACATGGATCTAGTTTCCTAGTGATGATCTCCTTGATGCCCCCATTAGCCTACAGCCACAACCTGCCTTAGTGAATATCCTACATGTGTTCTTATGGAGCTCTATGAAAGTGTCTCTGCCATTTATACCCAGTCATGAAATGTGTGGGTGGGAGGGCATATACATACTTCAGTTTCACGAAGTATTGCCAGCCCTGTTTCCACCATCTCAAACTGTGGTCTTGTTTGACATCTTTAAAAAGTATATTATTTTTATGGGCAACTGTGATTGCTCCCAGTCCCTGGCTATTTGGAGGAAGCAGGCATGTTATATAGAATTGTTGGTATCAGAGACTGTTGAAAAGTAAAAGCTGTTTTCTCTCTTCCCTGTTCTCTAGGTTGGACTAGGGACTGTTTCCAAGAATGGAGCTCCTACATCCAGCTGGCTATTCCCAGTATGTTCATGGTGTGCATCGAGTGGTGGACCTTTGAGATTGGAACCTTCCTTGCAGGTTTGTCAGCAGTTCAGTAGAAATCAAGAACAGCCTGGCTACTCTTGTTTCCAGAGCTTTTTAAGAGATGTAGGCCTTACTTCTTCCTTTCCCTTATGTCAAGTGCTCAGGGAAGTTTCCAACTAGGGAAGCTAAGGTGTAAATCCTTGCCCGACCATAAGCATATTCCAGTTGAGTGAGGCTTTATACATTCAGAAAGGGAGGCCACATCTAAAAGGTTTGCCAGGGTCATGGAGAGGGAGAACAGAAACCCAATTATGGGTCTCGTGACTTCTCAGACCTTCTATTTCCACTGACTTTTTCTAGGCATTGTGCAAGTTTTTAAGCCATTTTCAAACATAATGGTTTGTTGGCTCTGTTTTTGATGTGATCTTTATTTCTATCAGAGCTGTATTAATTTTGGTCATAGGTATTTACCCTACTCATCTATTTTTTAAAGATTTTATTTATTTATTTATGAGAGACAGAGATTGAGAGAGAGGCAGAGACATAGGCAGAGGAAGAAGCAGGCTCCCCACGGGGAGCCCAATGCAGGACTCAATTCCAAGACCCCAGGATCACAACCTGAGCCGAAGGCAGACACTCATCCACTGAGCTACCCAGATGCCCCTCACCTTAGCCATCTTATTGCCAGTAAAGTTATAGAGGAAATAATAGAGACAGAGGATGATAAATAATTGATGTTAAAGTTCCTGGGGGACATTTGGATACTCCAGTAGTCCCACCATGTCTATACAGAGTCCCACTGCTTTCCATCCTTTTCTTCCCACATTGGGATCCTACGTCTCCCCAAGGAATGACCTGCAACTTTAGGAGCCTTGTTGTTTTCTACTTTAAACCTGATGTTTTGTTCCTTGGTAGAACAGGAGCTTGCAGATTGAACTCGTTTCAGGTCTTAGCTGCTCTAGTTCTTGGAAGCTTCCTAGGAGTGGACCTCTGGGGCTCTCCTCAGCACAGATAGTGAATTCTGCCTTTGGTTTTGCTTCCTTCTGGGAGCAGTCCTGGCTTCTTTTAAAATTCTTTTTTAAAAAGATTTACTTATTTGAGAGAGTGAGAAAGATTGTGCGTGTATGCATGAGTTGGGGAGAAGGGGAGAGAATTTTCAGAGACTCTCTGCTGAGTGCGGAGCCTGTGAGTGAGGCTCAATGTCATGACCCATGAGATCATAATCTGAGCTGAAACCAAGAGGTAGACACTTACCTGACTGAGCCACTCAGGTACCACCCAAGCTTCTTTTAAATTAAGATATGTTTTAGTTTCATAAGGAAAATGTTTGCTTTAATCCACCTCCTAAGATGTGTTTTGTGTTTGTCTGTGCCAACATTTCAGGACTGATTAGTGTGACAGAGCTTGGGGCCCAGGCCATCATTTACGAACTGGCCTCTGCAGCCTACATGGTAAGAACCTTGGGGTAAGACCCAGCACCTTCTCTGTATAAGCTCTGCTGGGCCATCATCATTGCATTCATTCAATCCACTGTGCTGTGTGCTGGGGAGAGAGGAGAAACCAGACAGCAGGAGGGTGAGCCAAGCATACTGGAGGGAGCGTAGATTTGGGGGCCAGATCCTGGGTTTGAGTTCTGCCATGCTGCTCCTCCCACTGTGCAGCCGTGGGCTCATTATTTAACCTTTCTGAGCTTCAGTTGTCCCATATACAAAATGGAAAAAAATAATACGTATGTAGCAAGTGAAGACAAAATACGATAATGTATTACAGCACTTAGCACAACGCCTGGCGTGTTTATTCACATATGAAGTTGGTGCTAGGACATGATGGAGAGTGAGACGGAGATAGTCTCTGCCCTCTCGTGGCCTGTGGGCTGGTGGGGAGACAGAGACAAACGGATACATGAGAGGATTACAAATATATATGACATGTACCACAGGAGAAGCAAAAAAAAGTCCTAGATGCATAAAAATAGAGATGGATACCTTTTTAGGGAGGGGAGTCAGAAACAGTCCTTCTGAGCCACTAGGTAAGCTGAGCCTGGAAAGGTGAGGGGGAGCCAGCCCCGGAAGCCCAAGGCTGAGAGCTGATGCCCAGCGTGGGCGAAGGCTCTGTGATGGGAAGGAATACATGGCGCGCTCAGGGACCCAAAACGGGAACCTGGTTGAAGGGGTTAGTGAGGAAAGAAGGGGGTGACATGTAGAAGCTGGCTTAGGGGAGAACAGACATTTGAGGGGTTCTGGAAGGAGGCTACTGGAATCATTAGGTGAGCACATAGGAGGCTGCTGGTGGGCGGGTAGAAAAGTGGGTTAGTTGTGTTCTAGGGCAGAGTTGATAGGATGTGACCAGGGTTTGGATGTGGAAGGCAAGGCGATGAATAGGAAGAATCACAAATGACCCCCAAGTTTCTGGCTTGAATAATTGTGCCTCTTACCTCTTGATTCTTTTGGAATATTCCAAACCTGTACAAGTATTCCCTTTTTTTGTTTGATTCTTATTTTTTGGTAAAGATCAACAAAGCCCCTCTGGGCAGTGGGATATGGGCCATTTTTGTTTCCATGTATTATTATTTTTTTATTCTCAAAAACAAGGTTTTGTTTTTGTTTTTAAGATTTTATTTATTTATTCATGAGAGACACCGAGAGAGAGGCAGAGACACAGGCAGAGAGAGAAGCAGGCTCCATGGAGGGAGCCCAATAATGGCAGTTGATCCGGGACTCCAGGATCACGCCCTGGGCCGAACGAGGTGCTCAACTGCTGAGCCACACAGTCGTCCCCAAAACAAAGGTTTTTTTAGTGGGGATTGATGCTGACATTTAGGAAGAAAACGGGAAAATGTCTAGGAGCAAACCCCAAGATGTAGAAGTTGAGAATAGGACAGCTCAGCCCAAAAGGAGGACAGGCCAATGTGGAATGAAGAAAATCAGGAGAACATGTTGTGGAGGAAGCCAGCTATGAAGAATGAGTCACAGAAGGAATGACAGTTGAGTGGAGGGCTTCTGGGCAGGAGGGGCGTAGCATAAAGTGAGGTTGGAAAGTGCCCCTAAGATTTCAGGTCATCCGGAGACCTTAGATGGGGAGCAAGAGCCATATTCCAGCAAACACTGACTTTCAGGGTTAGCGAAGGAGCAGAGGCTACTGAGGTAGACCATTCTGTCTGGAGGTTTGGTAGTTGATGGTGGGAAATAATCCCATCAAGGGAGGGTTTTGGTGTGGCTTCTCTATTTAAATGTGGATGCTAGAGCTTATGCATAGGTATGTGATCAACAGTACCAGTCTTCTGCCTCTATCATCTTCAGATCTTCATGTTTTTCTACCTGTTCTGTTCTAGCCTTCCTTTTGTTTTTATTTTAAATTGTGCTAAAAACCACATAACAAAATTTACCATCTCTTAATTTATTTATTAGAGAGAGAACACACATGAGAGAGCACAAGCAGGAAGGAGGAGGCAGAGGGAGAAGGAGAAGCAGACTCTCCACTGTTCAGGGAGCCTGACGGGCTTGATCCCAAGACCCTGAGGTCATAACCTGAGCCAAACTGAGCCACCCAGGTCCCCCAAAATTTACCATCTTAACCAGGTTTAACTGTGCAGTTCAGTCGTGTTAACATTGTTGTGCAGCCAAACTCCAGAACCTTTTCATCCCATAAGACTGAAACTCTACCCATTCAGCAATTACCCGCTCCCCCTGCCCTCAGCCTCTGGCAGCAACTATTCCACTTCCTGTTTTTTGTCACGGGCTTTCCTTTGTTAGAGGCAGTAAGGCAATAATTCATTATTCCTATGGAAGAAAAAAAAACAAGTCCCTGCAGGAGTGAGCTTACAGTCAAAATTACAGAATACAAAGAAATAACCACCATGAGCAAGAGTTTGAACAGACACAACAAACAGAAAAATTAGAGTTCAGAACTTAAGATGTTGGAGTAATAATCGGGGAATAGAAAAGTATTATGTTTAAAGTCAATAAACATAAAAGAAGGAGCTGAAACCAAAAAGAACAATATTTGGAAAAGAACCAGATAGGATTTTGTAAAATCACAGATTATAGCTATACAGATATAATACTTAATGTGATAAACAGATGTTAAATCAGGAGAAGCAAATCATAAACTTGAAGACTGATCAGTGGAAATTCCAGAAGAAAACAAAGACATGTAAATAGATGGAATTAGGTATAAAGACCAACCCATGCATATGTGATCAGATGATTTTTTTTTTTGATCAGATGATTTTTAACAAAGATGATGAGACCATTCAATGGGGAAAGGACAGTCTTTTCAATAACGAGTACTGGAAAACTGGATATCTCACATACAGAAGAATGAAGTTGTACTCTTAACTCTTACTCAAAGTGGATCGAAGACCTAAGTGTAAGCCCTAAACAATAAAACTTTCAGAAGATGACATAAGGCAGAAGCTTCACAGCATTGGATTTGGCAATGGTTTCTTGCATGTGACACCAAAGGCTCAGGCAACAACAACAAAAAAACCAGACAAGCTGGAATTTATGAAAATTGAAAAATTGTGTGCATGCATCCAAAGACAAGATCCACAGAGTAAAAAGGCAACCCACAAAATGAGAAAATATTCACAAATCCTATGGGAAAATATTCACAAATTCTCTGTCTATATACCCCAGAATATAGTCAGAACTCCTAAAACTCAGTAGCAAAAAATCAACAACTGGATTAAAAAGTGAGCAAAGGCCTTGAATAGGTATTTCTCCAAGGAAGATACACATATGGACAGTAAGCACATGATGATGCCCACCATCACTGATCATTAGGAAATATTTATGAAAAACCACATTGGGATATCATCTCATACCTGTTAGGATGGCTATTATTAAAAAAATAAAAACAACTAATAGAAGTTGGTGAAGGTACAGAAAAATTGAGACCCTTGTACACTGTTGGTGGTGGGACCAACCACCAATGGTGCACTCACTATGGAAAGAAAGTGTTGTGGTTCTTCAAAAAATTAAAAATAAAAGTATGATATGATCCAGCAATGTCATTTTGGGGTATACATGAAAATAAAAAGCAGGATCTTCAAGAACTACTGTACAACCTTGTTCATAGCTGCGTTATTCACAGGAGCCAACAATGGAAGCAACCCACATGTCTACCGACATGTGGAGTAAAGTACAGAAGATTTTCAAATTCTTGCTGTGTATTATCTGAAAGGACTGAGTGTGAATAAGACCACAGTGCAAGGAATCATTAAGTAGGTTCTCTGTGTGCCTCATGCACAAATGCTATTTCTTTTTTGCTTTACAGATAAGTGGATAAGCAAACATTATATATATATATCTCCACACAATGGAGTACTATTCAGCCATAAAAAGGAAGGAGAGTCACATGCTACAAAATGGATGAACCTTGGGACAATATACTAAGTGAAGTAAGGCAGTCACAAAAAGACAAATACAGGCAAACCTCGGAGGTATTGCAGGTTTGGTTCCAGACCACCACCACAAAGTGAATGTCACAATAAAGTGAATGAAAAGTTTTTTTGTTTTACAGTACATATGCAAGTCATATTTATACTATACAGTCTGTTAAGTGTATAGTAACATGTCTAAAAAGTGTACATATCCTACTTAAAATAGTTCGTTGCTAAAGAATACTAACCATCATCTGAGTTTTTAGCAAGTTGGAATCTTTTTGCTGGTGGAGGGTCCTGTCTTGATGTTGCTGGCTGCTGACTGATCAGGGTGGTGGCTGCTGCAGGTTGGGGTGGCCACGGCAATTTTTAAAAATGAGACAACACTGAAGTTTGCCGCATTGATGGACTCTTCCTTTCATGAATGAATTCTCTGTAGCACTGAATGCTGTTTGATAGCATTTTATCCATCTCAGAACTTCTTTCAAAATTGGAGTCAATCCTCTCAAACCCTGCTGCTGCTTTAATCAAGTAAGTTCATGAGATATTCTAAATCCTTTGTTTTGTCATTTCAATAGTCTTCACAGTGTCTTCACTAGGAGTGGTTGTCATCATAAGAAACCATTTTCTTTGCTCATCCATAAAAAACAACTCCTCATCTACTGAAGTTTTGTCATGAGATTGCAGCCGTTCAGTCCCATGTTCAGACTCCCTTTCTGTTTCTAGTTCTCTTGCTATTTCTACCATATCTGCAGTTACTTCCCCCACTGAAGTCTTGAACCCCTCAGAGTCATCCATAGGGTTGAAATCAGCTTCCTCTAAACTCCTATTGTTGATATTTTGACCTCTTCCCATTAATGATGAATGTTCTTAATGGCATCTAGAATGGTGAATCCTTTCAGATGGTTTCCAATTTACTTTGCCCACATCCATCAGAAGCATAACTATCTATAACAGGAATAGCCTTATGAAATGTATTTCTTAAATAGTAAGACTTGAAAGTTAAAATTACTCCTTGATCCGTAGGTTGCAGATTTGACACTGTTGGCAGGCCCAGAAACAACAGAAATCCCACTGTGCATCTCCATTGGAGCTTTTGGATGACCAGGTGCATTGTCAATCAGCAATAATATTTTGAAAGGAATCTTTTTTTCTGAGAAGTAGTTCTCAACAGTGGGCTTAAAATATTCAGAGAACTGTGTTGTAAATATACGTACTGTCATCCAGTTTTTGTCATTCCATTTATAGAGCACAGGAGAGTAGATTTAGCATAATTCTTTTAAAGGTTTTTTTTTAAGATTTTATTTATTTATTCATGAGAGACACAGAGAGAGGCAGAGGCCAAGGGAGAAGCAGGTTCCCCGCGGGGAGCCCAATGCAGGACTCGATCCTAGGACCCCTGGGATCATGACTTGAGCCAAAGGCAGGCACTCAACCACTGAGCCACTCAGGCACCCTGATTTAGCATAATTCTAACAGGCCCTAGGATTTCCAAACTGGTAAGTCAGCATTGGCTTCAACTTAGTCATTAGGCCCTAACAAGAGAGTAAAGCCTTTCCTTTGAACGTTTGAAGCCAGACACTGATTTGTCTCTAGCTGTGAAAGTCCTAGATGGTATCTTCTGATATAAGGCCATTTCATGTTCATTGAAAATCTGTTGTTGAGTACCTTCTTATAACCTTCATTCGTTATCTGAGCTCCATCTTCTGGAGAACTTGCTGCAGCTTCTGCATCAGCACTTGCTGCTTGACTTTTCACTTTGATGGTATGGAGACGGCTTCTTTCCTTAAACCTCAGCAACCAACCTCTGCTAGCTTCAGACTTTCTCCTGCAGCTTCCTCACCTCCCAGCCTTCACAAAAGAGAAGGGAGTCAGGGCCTGGCTCTGGGTTAGGCTTTGGCTTCAGGTAGTGTTGGGGTTGGTTAGGCCTTCTCTCCAGAACACTAAACCTTTCTCCACATCCAAGAGTGCTTTGTTCTCATCCTTGTGCTCCCTGGAGTGACACTTACCCTTTCCTTCAAGAACTTCTCCTCTGCCTTCCCAGCTTGGCTGTTTGGTGCCAGAGGCCTCGCTTTCAGCCTGTCTCAGCTTCTGAGATCCCTTTCTCACTAAGCTCAATCATGTCTAGCTTTTGATATAAATTAAGAGACGTGTGACTCTTTTTTGCCCTTGAACACTCATGGGTCATTATAGTTATTGCCCAATTTTATATTTTTGGTCTCAGGGAAGGGGGAGGACTAGGAAGAGGGAGAGATGGGGGAATGTCCAGTTGTGGAACAGTCATAACACACATAACATTTATCAGTTAGGTTTGTTGTCTTAAATAGATGCAGCTTGTGGCACCCCAAAACAATGACATCAGTAACATCAAAGATCACTGATTACAGATCATCATAATAAATGTAATAATGAAAAAGTTTGAAATATTACAAGAATCACCAAATGTGATGCAGAGACAAGGAATGGTGGCAATAGACTTGCTTGATGCAGGATTGCCACAGATTTTAATTTTTAAATATCGCAGTATCTGCGAAGTGCACTAGAGCAAAGTGCAGTAAAACAAGGTATGCCTTTATTGTGTGATTCCACTTATATGAGGTCCTCAGCATAGTGAAAATCATAGCCACAAGTAGAATGGTGGTTGCCAGAGGTTGGGAGGGGAATTGGGGAGGAGCTGTTTATTGTTTATTTATAATAGAGTTTCAGTTTCACAAGATGAAGAAAGTTCTGGAGATGGATGGTGGTGATAGTTGCACAACATTATGAGTCTATTTAGTATATTAAACTGTACATTAAAAATGACTATATGGTTAAAAAACATAATTGGAGTAATAGGAAATACTTAAGTTGGTGTATTTTATGTGTTTTTTAACCACAATAAATAAAAATGGGAAAAAGTAGAGATAGAATATATGAAAGGTATAGATCCTTATGTGCATCCAGTAGGAATTTCACAGACAATAAAAGATGCAGTATTCAGAGCCATTTAATAAGAGACAGAGACAGACCCTTGGAAGTGAGACATAATCCAGTGTTCAGAAATCATAATGAGCATGGTATTGGAGATTCTAGCCTGGGCAATTAGGAAGAAAAAATATTAGGCATCCAGATTGGAAAGGAAGAAGTACAACTATCTGTATTTGCAGATGACATTATTTTATCTATAGAAAACCCAAAGTAGTGTACACACACACACACACACACACACACACACACTGAAACTACTAGAGCTAATAAATGAGTTCTGAATGCCACATTGCAGAATGCCACATCAGTACACAAAAATCAGTTGTGTTTCAGATTGAAACTGAAAATGGAATTAAGAAAATGGTTCCGTTAGCCCCGCCATCAAAAAGAATAGTCAGTAGTAAATTCAGCCAAAGAAAGGTGAAACTTGTGCACTGAAAACTACAAAACATTATTGAAAGAAATGAAAGAATACTTGAGTAAATGAAAAGATTTCCCATGTTCATGGGTTAGAAAACTCAGTATCGTCTATTGGCATCACACACCCCACCACTACCACCAAAGATGATCTACACTTTCAGTGTAATCTCTTTCAAAGTTTGAACTGGCCTTTCTTGCAGATTGGATAAACTGATCCTAAAATTCATACAGAGATGCAAGGGACCCCAAATAATCAAAATAAGCTTGGAAAATGAACAAGGTTGGATGAGTCATCCTTCAACAATTGCAATAAAAACCTGAAGACCATGAAATGATATAATCAAAATATTTGGAGGTCCATGTCAGTCCTTATCCAACTAAGCTAGGGCTCGAGAAGGAATAGATTAAAACACTGAGAGACATCACAGGGTATCACTGAAAGAAACATTGGTGTCAAAACAATGGTAAGCAAAGAAATTGATAAATATGGATGTATCTAAACCAGCACGGACTATAAAGAAAAATTCAACTAATTTGCACAGTGCAAAATTAGGTAGAAATAAAATCCTTACTAGTAATAAGAAATTGGGAGAGCATTTTCTTAGTTAAAACAATCTAGACATAGGAAGAAGGTGGGAAATAGTTGATTAAGTTAAAAGTTTTAAAGTCTATGCATGTTGACAAACTAGTTTAAGGGGACTATCCAAGAGAGGGGAAATAGGATGTGTTTCCAAGCCAGTAGCAGGGATACAAAAGGGAATTAAGAAAAAAACATGATCTGGGCAGCCCGGGTGGCTCAGCGGTTTAGCGCCGCCTTCAGTCCAGGGCCTGATCCTGGAGTCCCAGGATCGAGTCCCACATCGGGCTCCCTGCATGGAGCCTGCTTCTTCCTCTGCTTATGTCTCTGCCTCTTTCTCTCCTCTGTGTCTTTCATGAATAAATAAATAAAATATTAAGAAAAAAAAGAGAAGGGCTTGGTTCTGAGGTGCTCACATCATACAGGGTGCTCTCCTGCTTTGCTTTTTCTATTTTCGCCTAGTCTTTCTGAGTGTTGTGAGTCTCAGAGTGAGATCCAGATAGGCCATGGGGTCTGGATGTGCTGTTGGTACCAAATCTCCCTGTGTAGTGCTCACCACTGCCTCGCTGATGGACTTGAAGTTTCAAGCCTTCTGAGGTTGGGCTGGGAAGAACTAGCAGGATCTGGCCTCTGCCTGTTTGTATTTGGGATTGTGGCTTCCTGTGGTTCTACCCCAGGATTATGAAATGTGCTTTCCCTCTTCTAGAAGCCAGTCTGGCTTCTTATAAGTGTCTCTCTTATTCTCAGTGATGTGACTGTACTATGTTTCTGCTAAGCATCTTTACTGACATTTTAATGAGATTTGGGAGGGAAGAGAGTTGAACATGTGAGCCAGTCACTCATCTTGAACCAGAGGACAATTAGGCGTACCCTGGGCAGACAAGTCTTAAAATGTATTATATAGTCAAGTCCATTGTTTTTCAAAGTTTTTAATTGAATATATGTATATATACATTTTTTACCAACTCATGCTGATTCTCAAAATAGTAACAGAGATTGTTGGGAGAATGCTGTTTTTAGTAGGAATGAAAAGTTAAAGCTGATATATAAATTGTCAGCAGACATGACAGCTAAAACCAGAGTATTCAGTAACCATCCATGTTACCTGAATAGATCCTGAGGGCAACACTATATTACAGGACAATAATAGGAGGTGAAAAACATGACCCTGAAGGTTGAATAATGGTCTATTCAAGAAGCAAGAAAACTTATAGCTTCAGATTTCTGTAATGAATGATGAAAAATAGATTTTTGCTATTTTGAAGGGACATATTTCAGTGTCCTGCATAATTCAATATATGGGATGTTTGACATGATGGGGGTTACAGAGTCAGATTTCATCAACATTTATTGAGTTCCTACAGTGTGCCAGGCTTTGTTCTAAGTGCTTTTTCTCATGGTTCATTTAATTTTTACAAATTATTTATACATTTATAATACATTAAATCTTCTCTTGTAGAATGTAGCAAGATTAAATTAAATCTTGATGGTGTATGTGTTTAGCCAATAAAGGAGGTGCTTTACCCTCAAGTCCCGCTTCATTAAGGAATTCTGCTCTGATGTATGTGATACAGGTAGTGGTCAGGGCAGCCACTGTATTTCTGTAGCAATGAAGAAATTGGGTGTTAGTGGGACTGAGCAATTTGATTATGGGCACACAGCTCAGATGTAATAGAACCAGTTCTAGAACACAGATTCCAGTCTCTCTAGGCTTCTCATGTGGTTGGACCTGAGGGCACTAACATTCTAACTTTCAGGCCCTCGGACTTCTTATGGTTTGTGATTGTTCGTTCTCAGGTGCCCCTGGGCTTTGGTGTGGCGGCCAGTGTCCGAGTGGGCAATGCTTTGGGTGCAGGGAATGCTGAGCAGGCTTGGCACTCTAGCGTCACTGTTCTTCTGTGTGCGGGTAAGTTAAAGCAGTTCCACTCTCTGGTGTCCATACTAAGTTCTGTGTGTTGAGTTAAAATACACATAATCAGAATTTCTCTAGGGAATTGACTTATGGAGATGTGCTCAGCTTAAATATCCTTGAAGCTCTTTCCACTTTACTCAGTTAAAACTTCTAATTATGATTTTCTGTTATTAGGTACTGATGATCTAATGTTACTCTCGGTACTGTTGAAAATTTTTTCATATTGTTAGCATCTGCAGGCTTATTTTCTGACCAAAGTCTGTGTGACTGATTTGCCATGTTCCTGGATCGCTGCCTCCTCTAGCAGTTTTAATATTTTGGGATCTGAGCAGTTAGAGAAGATTCTGATTGTATTGATATCTTACTGACACTTTTTCTAGGCATCCGCCTTAGGAAAAGGAATCAGAATCATCTGATCTTCGTTGTTCTTTTCATAGACAGTAAGAAGAAGCACTTTAAATTATCACATTTCTTACACCATTGACAGAAATATCTCATGAGCATCCAGTCCTAGGATTTATTACACGCTGGAGAATTCTCATTTCCAGTTGCTTCTTCTGTATATTTCAGGTGTTTGCGCACTCGTAGTGGGCGTTTTACTTGCAGCTTTGAAGGATGTCGTTGCCTACGTATTTACCAGTGACAAGTATGTACTCACCTTTTAAGAAGAAAAATGTTTTCTATTTTATGCTTTCTTTTATTCAGTGTACTTTTATGGTTTGATGAGGTGAGTACTATTTTCCTGCACAGGAAAATCCATAGTGCAGCCAGGAATGAGAACCAGAGTACCAACTTTGAATGAATTTGGGTGAAGGAAGCCCCTGATAACCATCCCCTATTCCTCCAATATTCAGTTTCTTTATTTATCAAACCTGAGTAGGGTTTCTCTTGTGCTCAGGGCTAGTTTTGCTCAAAGAGACACAGAAAAACATGTGGAACATCTTCATCCCCAGAAAGGCATCTCCCAGTCCAAAGCACACTGACACCATGCATGCCTGAATCAAAAGGGCAGAATTGGTATAAATCATTAAGTCAGTCTTATGTTGAATTTTATTGTGTTTTCTGCAACTCTGTAATTATTTAGATATAATGAAGTACCTTTTGAATAAACCAGATCCTCCTGATGAAAAAGCTTCAGTAATCTGCATTGGTTGCCTCAGATTACTATTCTGAAGAAATTCAGTTTTATTACTTTCAAGTATGCTCTCTTATTTTCATATGACCTCACTGGTTTTAGATGAATGTTTAAACATATTTTTTAAAAGATTGTACTTATTTATTTGACAGAGAAATCACAAGTTGGGTAGGGCAGAGGGAGAGGGACAAGCAGACTCTCTGCTGAGCAGGGAGCTCAAGGTGGAGCTCGATCCCAGGACCTGAGCTGAAGGCAGATGCTTAGCCAACTGAGCCATCCAGGCACCCCGACATATTCTTATAAAATCTTAGGACTGGGGAGATTGTCCAATGGAATTATAGGGACTGGACTTACTCTGCTGCTTTAAACAACTAAAAAATTGGACAAAAATCTATATTTTCAAATGTTTTTCAGACACTAGACAATAGGCAGCATGGATTAGTAATCTGTGAGAGAGGAAACAGAAAACCCTGTGATTGCTCCAGCTCACCAGGAGGGCATTTCCAGGCCACAGCCCAGATGGGGACCTGGCAAAGCCCTTTCATCTCTTGGGTTGAAGGAAGGGAATTAGAAGTTTGGGGAGGCCTGTGACTGGAGTCCACAAAGAGCACTAGCGGGAGAGAGCTTCCAGAGAGAGTTTGGAGAAGGTCTCCATTGAATCTTCAACTTATTTCCTTGAGGATAGTAATTGAAGCTATGGGAAAATCACCTGAAAGTAGCAGGAAGAACAATCTCTGAAGCTCACCAGGGCTGGGAAGAATTTGTGTTCCCACCAGCCAGAACAAACCAACCTCGTGAGGTGTGGGGCAGCTAGTGGAGTTCTCATAAGTGGAGTTCTCATCTTGCCTCAACAGTGGAGGAAAATCAGCCCTAGAATGAAGGCTGCTCTGGTGCCTCCTAACAAAACATAAAAGCAAATCTGAAAGGATCAAACCATTTCCAAGAAATTTAACTGCATTCCAGAACTTAACTGCATCACACCTCAGGAGTGTCTAAAATAATACAAGACTGTGTAGTACCCAAGGAAGTAAAACTCACAATGCTTGCTCACAATTAAAAGTGACCAGGCATGAAAAGAAGTGAGAAACAAATCCATAATGAGAAGACACATCAATCAAGGAAATTGACCCAGAAATGAAATAAATGATAGTTAGTGCACAGGGATAATGAAAGTTTTTATAACCTTGTTCTGTATTTTGGAGAGTTGGAGAAAAACATGAGCATGTTAAAGTAAGCCATCAAAGATTTTTAAAGCAACAAGTTGAATTTACAGAGTTGGGGGAAAAATGAGATGAAAATATATTGGATGAGATTAATAGCAGATTGGATACTGTAGGAGATAGGTGAACTTGAAGACAGAGCAATGGCACATATCCTAAAGGAAATGTGGAGAGGAAAGAAAGACTAGAAAAAGAGGAATGGAGCGTCAGCAAGCCATAACTGACCTAAATGTAATTAAGGGTTCCCAACGCAGAGGAGAGAGAATCAGGAGTGAAAAAAAAAATACTGGAAGGCATAATGGCAAAAAAACTTTCTAAATTTAGCAAATTTTAGGATCAAATGCATCTAAAAGGCTATTTGGTGTAATCACCCTTCTGACATTGGGATTCCTCCAATACATCTGTGCCAAGTGGTCCAGCTTACGTTTTTATGGCCTCAGCAACAAGGAACTTGCTGTCTCTCAAGGCAGCTTTGGGTCTTGGGACACCCTTATTTTGAGTTAAAACCTACCCTTCCCCACCACTAACTTTCACCCACTTCTTTCAATTTTATGTTTCTGAGAAAGTCCATTTCTGAGTTACAGCCCTACGGCTCTCTGAAGGTGGCTCTTATGCTCTGCAGAGTCTTCTCCATGATAGATACATGTAATTCCTTGTGGAATGTTATTTTGAGTTCCACCCTCTTGAATTCACACACACCTGAAGATAGTACTCTTGGTCACCACCATTTAGAGCCGAGCTATTTCCATTCTAGCTCATTCTTCCTGACAGACTGCTAGAGAAGTATAATTTTTGATGGCTGCATCCCCACCCTTCCTCCATGTGGGTGTCTTCTTGTGTCCACGTGCAGCATCCTACATTTGTACCTATTGATCTTTAATATTTTTTGGCACATTCTGACATTTTTGCTTCTCAGTTCTGTTAGTGACAGTATTTCCTATCTTTTTCAGCTGCTGGCATCTGTACACGTGATATATACTTTTATATTTCCATTTTCTCTTCTTTGATCTAAAGCTCTGGCATCTTCATTGTAGTCTTCCTCTTTATCCCCAAGTCCTACCAGCATCCTGGGTGAACTTAGCATCTGCATGGATGAGCCATCCATTGTCCCAGTCCCTCACTCCAGTGCCCTAGTCCTCACCCCAGGAACTCTCTCTCCCCTGCTTCAGGTGCACTGTCCCATGGTCATACTTTGCTCTTTGTCATCACATAGAACTGTTCATCTCCAGTCCTGCAGTTGGCCACAACTCCAGTCCTTCAAACATGCTTTTAAAGATTCTCAAACATGTATGTGCTTAAAAAGATTCTTCAACCACATGGGCCCTCTAATATGTTGACACCTCTGACTTTGCATTTATTCTCAGTCTGTCATCACATCCCTGCCATTCCTTCTCTACGTATATAACTTAGATGCCATAGTGCGTTATTTCAGTAACTCTTGCTAGTAACCTAAATTCCTTTCGCCCTCCTGTATGGCAGATCCCCCACCCTGGAGGAATCCAGTTGCACATTTTCTGTGCTAATAACTGATCATTTTGGAAAAGCTATGATACATTTCTAGGGCAAATTGGTTGCCTAGAAATTTAGGACTACCAACCACAAATATACCCTCAGCACTGCCTATCCGCCATTTCTTTGGTCATCTCATTGTCCATCTCTATAATCCATATTAGACCTTCTCTGCTCTCCTCAAACCACTGATCCCTCCCGACTATCTTTGGCCATCACTCTCAGCAAATGACCTTGCCTTTCCCTTGAGTTTATCCAGCTTGGTGTCTTTTGAGTGTCTTGGTTATGTAGATTCATGTATTTCATCAAAGTTTGTAGCCATTCTTTTTCTAAAACCTTTTATTTCTGCCTCTTTCTCTCTCCTCACCTCCTGGGACTCCCGGTGTGTGTGTGGGTGTACTTGGTATGCCAACAGGTCTCTGCACCTCTGTTCATTTCTCTTCATTTACTTTTCTTTCTATTTCTCATATGGAATAATCTCAATTATCCTATCTTCAGGGTCACCCATTCTTCCTTCTGCCAGGTGGAGACTCTCTACTGAATTATTTATTTTAGTTTTTGTACTTTTCAACTCCACAGTTTATGTTTCTCTTATAATATCTTTCTCTTCATTGATAGTATCTATTTGATGAGACATCATTCTCATATTTTCCTTTAGTTCTTTACATACAGTTTAAAAAAAAAACTCTTTGAACATATTTAATATAGCTGATTTAAGGGTTTTTTTTTTTTTTTGATTTAAGGGTTTTTTTGTGAGTCCAAAGTCTGGGCTTCTTCAAAGATAAGTTTTAGTAATTGCGTCCCCTTCCCCCGACCCCCATATATCTGCCATACTTTCTTATTTCTTTATTAATTTTTTTTTGGAAACTGGACATTTTTTATATTATAATATGGCAGTTCTGGAGACCAGAATTCTGCCTCCCCAAGGTTTTTTGTTGTTGTTGTTTGCTGTTGTTTGTTCGCTTAGTGACTTTTATGAATTAGTTTAGTAAGATCTGTTTTGTTTTTTGTTTTTTGTTTGTTTTTTTTTTTTTTGGTCAAATGTGGCCACTAAAGTCTCTTGCATTAGCTTAGTGATCAGCTAATTATTGGACAAAGATTTCCTTGGATACTTGCATCCCAGACATCTCCCACTCTTGGCTGGGGGGCTCTCTGTGCATGTGTCAGGGCATATCTTCAACATCCAGGCCAATACAACTTGGCCTTAACCCCTCATTTCCTGCTTGTGCAGAGCCTCAAGTTCAGCCAGAGGTGATAGATTAGGGCCTTCTCTGGTCTTTCTTGAGCATGTGCACAGACATACATGTGCGTATGGCCTTCTAGATTCCCAGGAATATGTCAGAGTTTTCAGAGCTGCTGTTTCTATTGCATCACCCAGATTTTCCTAACCAGACTTGTTAGTTTGTCCATTGTCTATGCCAACTCTTATCTTTTCTCTTCAGGCAGCAGCAGCTAAACCATTTCCCCATAAATATTTTTGACAAACATCTCTCAGAGATCAATGTTAGCACTGGGCAAGTGTGAGTCAAATTAAATGAAAAACCTGTTCTTCTGAGGAACAACCAGATAAGTGATCTATCTACAAAATAATTATTCTTTGAGAATGAAGTTTGAAAAAGTTCAGCTCACACTTCTTCCTCCAATCTTGAAAATATAGGTTCTTATTTTTCTTTTTTTCAAAAGGTTTTATTTATTTGAGAGTGAGTAGGCAAGAGAGAGAATAGTAGCGTGGGGTGCGGGGTTGGGAGAGGGGCAGGACAGAGGGAGAAGCAGACTCCCCGTGAGCAGGGAGCCCAATGCAAGGCTTGATCCTCGAACGCTAGGATCATGACCTGAGATGAAGGCAGATGCTTAACCGACTAGGCCACCCAGGTGCCCCTGGGCTGTTATTTTTCAAGGTTACTGCTGACCTGGGAGCAGGGGATAATATTAAGGTCAGTGAGAACACCACAAAGCTCCAAATTATTACCAAGACTCAGCAGATTTTCTTGAAGAAGCATTCCCCAGGTCACTGCAAGTCTTTGGTTAAGAGTTCTGAAAAAATTGATTCTGACGATATTTGCTAGTTTCTGACAAATTATCTTTCACCTGTGAATGAGCCATTCTTTCCTCTTTCTTTGTATGCTTGTGATTTTGTTGTTGTTGCTGTTGAAATTACATTTTGAATATTGTAATGAGATAACTGGAAATCATGTTCTCCTTCTTCCTTGTCCATTGCTGTTTTGCTTGTTCTCATTGCTGTTCTGCAGTTGTCCATTTGTGGTTTTCCAAACCACTTTTTTTTTTTTTGCAAAGACTGTGTTCCTTGTCATGTATGGTGTCTATTATCTCCTCATTCAGCCAGTAGCCTAGCAGATTTCCTTAAATGTCTTTAAAATAAAATTTAAAAAAGATTTTGTTTATTCATGAGAGACACCTACAGAGAAGCAGAGACACAGGCAGAAGGAGAAGCAGGCTCCCTGCAGGGAGCCTAATATGGGACTCGATCCCAGGACCCTGGGATCACACCCTGAGCTGAAAGCAGATGCTCAACCACTGAGCCACCCAGGCATCTGTAAATGTATTGATCCAATAAGAAAAGACTATTTTTTAAAAGTTCTGTCTGTGACAAGCACTGCATTGAAAGGCACTTCGGCCCAAAGGGGTTGAGGACAGTGGCTGGCCTCTGTGCCAGTCCCTTAGTGAACTGCCAAAGAGAACAAAACATACAACTCTGGTTTGGGGAGGAAAAGATCTTTATTGTCCAGCATGCCACAGTAAGCCACATCAGGAATGCAGGCAGCCATCCCTGTAGCTGCCTGTCATGAGACCAGGGGATGGGAAATGGTAGTAGCTACTATGCAGAACACCAAAATTCATCTATACTTACTAGCCTCTTTCCTCATCATGCACAATTGCTGCAAGCTTTCAGCTAGACTCCAGAGTTCTGAAATGGTTGCTTTTGACATTTCTTAACAGTTCAAAAATTGTTTGGGTAAAAGGATTGATCCTTGGAACTTCTTATTCCACCATTTTCCATGATGTCACCTGGGTATAGACTTTTCATGCTAATTTGACACTTATTCTTTTGAAGGAGAATTTTTTTCTGGAAATCTTTCAGATATTCTTTTTGTCCTTGGATGTGCTTAGGTAAAAGTGAATCTTTTTTCTTTTATTCAGTATGGCACTTTATAGACTTCCAGTCTGAAGCACTGGATTTTTCTTTCGCTCTAGGAAATTTATATAAATGGTAGACTTAATGGGTTAATTTGTTTGTCTCTTTTCTCTCACTTTCTGTCTCTGTTTTGGCATGTTTCCTCAGCTTTGTCTTTCAAATTAAAATTTAGTATTTTGTCCTATTTCATTATCTAGTCCTTAAATAGGATGTTTTAGTTTAGTGTTTGTATGTTTCATTTCATTTTTTCCCATTTGCTATTTTTTCCTTGCATGCTGCATTTGCCTACAGAAATGTCAGCTGTTTGTGTTGGCTTTTCTGCATGCTCATTTTGGTCTTTCCTTTTTTTTTTTTTTTTTGCTGTTGATTTTCTTCAGTGTCTGCTAAACACTGGGTTAATGCCTTTATTTGAATAAAGAGCATATTGTCATTTTGTTTAGAGATAATGTACACGTTAGGTCACTTTATGGTCCTATGAATAAGTTCAAGGATGTCACTCCTCTGTGAGATGGCTGCCTGCAGGCTGTATTGGTGGTATCTGTTGACCAGCAGTCTTCCCCTTTAGGGTGAATTGTAGGGATGCAGAAAGCTTCCTTTGGGAACAGTATGATAGCCTATTTTACATATTATGACCACATTGGGTCCATTGTGCAGGACTTTAGTCACCCCCAGCTCTGCTGTGTCTCTCCAAAATCCCAGTACCCCTACTGTAGTTCCCCCTCAGGCACATCTTCCACCATAATCAGAGTTTAGAGGATTCACGAGGAGGCATATGCTTCCTATATGAACGCTGACTTACAGCTCCATTTTTGAGGAAGACTCCTATTCACAGAGAAAGATTACCCTATATAGGCTGAAACCTTCTTTTTTTCCAAGCTGCACATTTTTATACTCATACGCAAAACTTTAAGAGTTATCCTTGGGATGCCTGGGCGGCTCAGTTGGTTAAGTGTCTGACTTCTGATTTTGGCTCAGGTCATGATCTCAGGGTCCTAGGATTGAACCCCACATCAGACTCCCTGCTGAATGGGGAGTCTGCATGTCTCCTTCTCCCTCTGCCCCTACCCCCCACTTGCGCTCATGCAAAAAAAAAAAAAAAAAAAAAAGAACAATCCTCTATAATAGCAGCTTAGACCACATACCTTTTACCCTAAATTCTAACTAATAAAATTTAGGGATGCCGGGGTTGCTCAGTGGTTGAGCATCTGCCTTTGGCTCAGGGTGTGATCCTGGAATTCTGGGATCGAGTCCCACATCGGACTCCCTGCATGGAGCCTGCTTCTCCCTCTGCCTATGTGTGTCTCTGCCTCTCTCTCTGTGTCTCCCATGAATAAATAAATAAAATCTTAAAAAAATAAAAGTTAAATTAGTGAAGCTTTATTGTGTACTCATTTTGTCCAATAGAAAAGTCGGGTTTCACTGAATTACCTGATCAATTTGTTAAGTTTGTCAGAACAATAGTTAATTAGTACTCCACTCACATGTGATTTTTGAGTCACTGACTGCTTTCTTTTCCTCCAACAGAGATATTATTTACCTTGTGAGCCAAGTGATGCCTATTTTTGCTCCCTTTCATCTATTTGATGCACTTGCAGTGAGTATTTGGGGTGATTTTACTCTGTCTAATATTCATGGCAAAATTTGTTTTGTGTTTCTAACTTTTGAATTAAATGTCTATGATTTCATCTTTGAGAAGAAAGAGCTCTTGCTTCGAGCATTCTTAGCCATTTGTGGGAAATTTAGATTGCTCTAGAGTACTGCATCTCAAGGTGGAAGAAACCAGAGTTATCTAGCCGCCTCTTCTTTATCTGGGGCCTGAATGCCCTGTGTGACATTCTAGCCAAGTGATCCCGGTGGTCCCTGCTGTGCTGTCCAAGGCAGGCCAGGCCACCTTGGAGTTAACTCTGATCACTAAAAAGTCTTTCCCCAGGCTGATGATTTTCTATAGATTTAAAGGTATTTGAAGACTCTTCTGTACCCTGGAATTGATGCCTTGAGGCTTAGTCCCAATTTCAGCAATTAGCCTTCATGGCATGATTTCTAGGTACATTTGCCATGTTGCTTTTCCCCCCAAGGAATTTCTCTATTTGTTAATGTCACTCTGAAGATGTACCTATTGAACACTGTGTTAAAAATAATGTGGAAAAGAACAAGATGATTATCACCACTCAGGTTCTGGGCATTTTTTAAAACCTTGATCCCATTAGTATTTTTTTCAGCCATGATATCAGACTAGTTTCTGCAGAGATTTCCATCAGTGAATCTCTTTTTTTAACATATGCTTTTACAAAAAAAAAAAAATAGGATTTACTTATTTTAGCAGAAGAGGGGCAGAGGGAGAGGAAGAGAAAAACTTAATCAGACTCCTTGCTGAGTGCAGAGCCCATTGCAGGGCTTAATCTCACGATCCTGAGATCATAACCTGAGCTAAAATCAAGAATCAGACATTTAACTGACTGAGCCACCCAGGCACCCCACAAAGTATTTTTTAAAATAGGGATTTAAATAATGTTATCTGAGGGGTTTCTAATGAAGTTGCTATAGTTTATTGTTGTTAACATAACCTTAGAAGGAAAATATTTTTCTTTATCTCTTACATAATGTGCAATTCCTGTTTTGAGATTGAACTGTTTGACCATATCTAAAACTTGTGATGTGTTAATGTAGTATTCCAAACTTGATGTGATGACAGGTAAATAATTGCAGTGTTGGTTTTGGTATTTCTCTCTTTAGGGTACCTGTGGGGGAGTCCTACGAGGTACAGGAAAACAAAAGATTGGTGCTATCTTGAATGCCATTGGTTATTATGTTTTTGGTTTTCCCATTGGAGTATCTCTGATGTTTGCTGCTAAACTTGGGATAATAGGTATGTTTTTGATTCTTCAGTGATCAACCTCAAATATCATTTGTCATATTAAGATACACTGCTTGAGATATAAGGCAGTTGACTGAAAAGTAGTCCCTGTGGCATTATTTTCTACCCAGTCAGTGCCTTGCCTGTACAAAAACACTGGAAGTACAGTCTTGAACAAAATAGGCATAATCTGTGCCCTCAGGATGAGGCCAGGATTAATTAATTACACAGTAATTACATTGGCTTCAGTACTACAAGAGAGAATAGCTTGGTCCTGTGAGCACCTGTCATGGGTCGGTGGATGGACTTGCCCTCCTCCGTAATGGATTAGCCTCAGACCTGAAACATGATGAATTACCTAGGTGAAGTGAACACCATATTGAAAAACTGTTCTTTTCCCACTAAGTGATCTTGGCACGCTTGTCGAAAATTAGTTGGTCACAGATGGATGAGTTTATTTCTGGATTCTCTATTCTACTCCATTAGTTTCTCTGTCTGGCTTATACCAGTACCACTCTGTTTTGATTACTGTAGCTGTGTAGTAAGTTTGGAAATCAGGAAGTATAAGCCTTCCAACTTTGTTCTTTTTAAATTTTGTTTTGGCTATTTGGGGATCCTTGGAATTCCACATGAATTTGAGGGTCAGGTTTTCCATTTTTGCAAAAAAAAAAAAAAAAAGCCATTAGAAATTTTATCTGCATTGAACCTGTAGGCTGCTTTGGAGAGAATATTGCCATCTTAATAATACCAAGTCTTCCAGTCCATGAATACAGGATGTCTATCCATTTATTTAGACCTTTCATTTCTTACAGCAGTGTTTTGTAGTTCTCAGTGTTCCTTACTTCCTTGGTTAAATTTATTCCTAGATATTTTATTCTTTTGGAACTATTGTGAATAGAATTTTTAATTTCCTTTTCATATTGTCCCTTGATGGTATATTAAAACACAATTGATTTTTGTGTGTTGATCTTGTAAGTTTACTGAATTTATTAGCTGTTGTATTTTTTTGTGTGTAGATTTTTAAGATTCTGTATATATAGGATCATGTCATATATAAATAAAAATAATTTTACTTTTTCTAATTTTTTAAAAAAGATTTTATTCATTTATTCATGAGAGACACACAGAGAGAGTGAGAGAGAGAGAGAGAAAGAGGCAAAGACATAGGCGGAGGGAGGGAGAAACAGGCTCCATGCAGGGAGCCCAATGTAGGACTTGATCCCGGAACTCTGGGATCATGCCCTGAGCCAAAGGTAGATGCTCAACCGATGAGCCACTCAGGCGTCCCTAAATATTTTTTTTTTCATCATGATAAGTGTACTCTTTAATCCCCATCACCTATTTCCTTCTTTCCCCCAACTCACCTCCCCTCTGATAACCAGTTTATTCTCTGTAGTTAAGAGTGTTTCTTAGTTTGTCTATCTTTCCTATGCTCGTTTGTTTTGTTTCTTAAGTTCTACATATGACTTAGATCATATGATATTTGCCTTTCTTTGGCTGACTTTTTATCTCGCTTAGCATTATACTCTCTAGCTCTATCCATGCTATTGAAAATGGCCAGATTTCATTCTCTTAATGGCTGAATAATATTCCAGTGTGCGTGTGTGTGTGTGTGTGTGTGTGTGTGTGTGTATTTTCTTTATCCATCCACCTGTTGATGGACACTGGGCTATTCCATATCTTGGCTATGAAAAATAATTCAGTAATAAACATAGGGATAAATATATCTCTTTGAATTAATGTTTTTCATTTCTTTGGGTAAATACCCAGAAGTGGGATTGTGAGGTCATATGGTAGTTCTATTTTTCTTTTTTAAGGAAACTTTATACTCTTTCCCTAAGTGGCTGCACAAATTCAGATTCTCACCAACAGTGTATGAGGTTCCCTTTTCTTCACATCCTTGCTAACACTTTTTATTTCTTGTCTTTTTTTTTGTACTAGCCATTCGGACTGGTATGAGGTGATATCTTGTAGTTTTGATTTGCATTTCCCTGGTGATTAGTAATCTTTTCACATGTCTGTTGACTATCGGTATGTCTTCCTTGGGAAAATCTCTGTTCAGGTTCTCTGACCATTTTTTAATCAGATTGGCTTTTTTGGTGTCGATTATATAACTTCTTTATATATTTTGAATATTAACCCCTAATCAGATAAATTATTTGCAGATATCTTCTCCCATTCAGTAGATTGCCTTATGATCCCTATCTTATGAGTTCACACTACATGTTTTTAGTATTTATTTCTATTGTGTTCTCTGGCACTTTTTATATCTTATGCTCTTTGAATGTAGGCTTCCTCAAAAGTCTCTTCCTCAAAAGTCTCAGGGCCTCAGTCTTTGGTGTCTTTGGCTCTTGGATCTCAATCTCTGGGCCTGACTTCATCATGCCTGAGGTCCTACTCTGTGTATTTCAGCTGCCCCACATATTCACGGTGGCCTTGCCAACATCTCTGCCTCCTGATTCCCTTTCTGATCTAGTCATCCAGGCTCAAGAACTCTGCCCCAATGATGCTGCCAAGTCTTACCAGTTCTGTCTCTATAATCTTTCATATCTGTGAGGGATTTATCCTGATTTCAGAGAAGAGTTGAGAGTTTATAATAGCTATGGCATTATAGCATTTATTATCTCCATAAACTACATACCTAACCCAGATATTTATTACTCTTATTAAGGCATTACCATTCAGCATCGGTTTTCCTGAAGTGCAAGTAAACAAAGTGGTACATGGGGCGGCTTATATTTTTCAGACATCTCCGTTCTTCCTCAGAAAAATTCTTTCCTGGGTTTAATCTCAAAACAGTACCTGTAGATTTTTGTCCCTAGGCAATAAATCCACTCATGTCAAAAGGGAGGCAACTCTAACATTCAGCCACCTGTTAGTCTAAGACCTGGAGGCTGTTTGTGTTTTCATGAATTGGGTGCATTAGTGACACTCTTCGTAGTTTATGTTCAAATATCTGATGAACATTTTGGAAATGTTAAGTTTCTGGGGGCACCTGGGTGGCTTAGTCAGTTTAAGCGTCTGCCTTCAGCTCAGGTCATGATCCCAGGGTCCTGGGATCAAGCCCCGCTCGCATTGGGCTTCCTGCTCAGTGGGGAGTCTGCTTCTCTCTCACACACTGCATGCTGTTCCCTCTGCTTTGTGCTCTCTGTCAAATAAATAACATCTTTGAAAAATAAAAGGAAATGTTAGCTTTAGTTCAAGCATTTTTAAAAATCATTTTCCTTGATAGCTTTTACACATTTCTTGTTAATTTTAGCCCTGGGCAGGTACGCCGGGATGGCTCAGTGGTTTGGCACATGCCTACGGCCTAGGGCTTGATCCTGGGGTCCTGGGATCGAGGCCCACATCGGGCTCCCTGCATGAAGCCTGCTTCTCTCTCCACCTGTATCTCTGCCTCTCTCTCTCTGTGTCTCTCATGAATACATAAATTTAAAAATCTTAAAAGGATCCCTGAGTGGCTCAGCGGTTTGGCACCCACCTTTGGCCCAGGGCCTGATCCTGGAGTCCCGGGATCGAGTCCCGCTTTGAGCTCCTGACATGGAGCCTGCTTCTCCCTCTGCCTGTGTCTCTGCCTCTCTCTCTCTCTCTCTCACACACACACTCTCATAAATAAATAAAAATAAAATCTTTAAAAAAATAAAAATAATAAAAAGTAAATAAAAATCTTAAAAAAAATTAGCCCTGGACATCTTATCCTTTTGTTGCTATTGAGGTTTCCCTTCCACTATGTAATCTAAGTGGTTGTTGTTTGTATGTAGGAGGGCTATTAGTTACTATTTGTGAATTTTGTATTTTGATACAATTTGGAATTATTCTTAATTGTAATAGCCTTCTGTTGATTCTCATGGCTTTTCCAGGTATACAGTCCTATCATCTACAAATAATTTTATATTGTCTTTACCAGATTTTATACTACTGATTTCTCTTTCTTTCTTTTTCTTTCTTTCTTTCTTTCTTTCTTTCTTTCTTTCTTTCTTTCTTTCTTTCTTTCTTCTTTCTTTCTTTCTTTCTGCCTCTAGTAATATACTAAATTATTGTAGTAGTTGTAGAAATGCTTGTCCTTTTCAGGACTTTTATAAACAATGCTTCCAGTGTTTCTATAATAAATATCATGAAGGATTTGGGGCTAACATACACACACGCAAACACACATAAGTAAATATGTGTGTACATGCTTTTTAAATCATGTTTAGGAAATATATTAAGTCTATTTTTTTAGATATTTCCAACAAGAATGGTTGGGTATTTTCTCAAATACAATTATATGTCATAGGTTAAAAAATAATTTTACTTCTTCTTTTCCAATTTTTGTGCCTTTTATTTTTATTTTTTGTGCCTATTCTGCAAGAACTTCTACAATAGGATTTAACATTATTTCTAAATTCTCTTACTTTATTTTTACTTTTAGTTTAAAAAGTAACTTTTTAGGGCATATGGAAATGAGCCTATAGTTTTTCTCCTTAGGTATATTATGATAAATGATATTAATTGCTTTCTTTATATTGAACAATCCTGGTTATTATGTGCGATTTTATTGGGCTGCTGGATTCTATTAATATCTTATTTAAGAATTTTTTGCAATGATATAAGTAAGATTAGTCTGTAGTTATATTTTTTGTGTAATCTTTATTGGGGTTTGGTATTAATTAACGTTATATTCGTGGGACGCCTGGGTGGCTCAGAAGTTAAGCATCTGCCTTTGGTTCAGGGTGTGATCCCAGATCCAGGATCGTGTCCCACATCAGGCTTCCTGCAGGGAGTCTGCTTCTCCCTCTGTCTGTGTCTCTGCTTCTCTCTCTCTTTCTCTCTCTGTCTCTTATGAATAAATAAATAAAAACCTTTTAAAAAATTAATGTTCTATTCCTTTCATAAAAAGAATTATATTTCTTTCCTTTTTGTAGCCTTGGAACAATTTACATAGTTTAGTAATGATTTGTTTTAGAAAGGTTTGCTGGAATTCTTCTATGAAACATGGAATTCGTCTATGAAACTGTTATGACCTCATCTTTTGGAGGGGTTTATCCTTTTTACAGCTTTTTCCATTTTGTCTCTGAAAAATCAGTCTTTAGATTTTTTTCTTTTTGGAGGTCACTTTAGCAAGTTAATTTTTTTAGAAAGTTATTCATTATCAAGATTCTAAGTGTACAGAATTGTGCAAAATAATCTATCATGTGCTTTTGGGGTAAGTTGTTATACATGTGTTCTGCATATATATATACACATCTGTACTGTAGACTTCAGTAACAGTGAATTTTATTTTCTTTAGTGAAAAAATTGTTTAATTAGAAGACTGACTAAATGCTGTAGTATGTATTCAAATAGGCTCTGTAAAGCTTTTATTTTTATTTTATTTGAGAGAGAGAGAGCAAGCACAAGTGGGGGACAGAAGGAGAGGAAGAAGCAGACTCCCTGCTGAGCAGGGAGGCCTCCATGGAGCTTGTCCCAGGACCCCAAGATCATGACCTGAGTGAAAGGTGGATTTGTTTAACCGACTCAGCCACCCAGGTGCCCCTCAAATAGGTTGTTTTGTTCTGTATCCAGTCAGTACATTTTTTAAATGTAAAAATTTTGCATCAACCCCCATTTCTCTGTGAAATTTTAATCTTGGAGCTGTCATAAGAGTCTCTCTATGTCCACACAAACATGTGCTTAGTTTCTTATCTTGAATTTTTGGAAATGTTACTTGGTGGCTTAATGAATAACTGTCTTCAATGTCATCTCTCTTTTTAAAGACTGGTGGAGGCTGAGAGCATATGGGGCATCTGATTAATGTCAGGCTGGGCTTCATCATTCTCTATTTGGGATGCACAACTGCCAGATACTTATTATTGTCTCATAGTGCTACCAAGCACTGCCCTAAACACTGGAGAAGGAGAATTTACCTAAATTGCAAGAACCCCTGTTCTTAATAAGCTGCTGAGTTTTTACAATTCAAGTTTACTTAAAAAACAAACCACAGCAATTGCACGACTCGGTATTTACCCCAAAGTTGCAGATGTAGTGAAACAGAGCAGCACCTGTTTCACTACAATATTCATAGCAACAATGTCCACAATATTCATAGCAATAATGTTCACAATAGGCAAACTATAGAAGGAACCAAGATGTCTTCTGACAGATGAATGGGTAAAGAAGTGACTATATAAAATGGAATATTACTCAGCCATCCAAAAGGATGAATACATAACATTCACATCGATGTGGATGGAACTGGAGGATATTATGCTGAGTGAAGTAAGTTAATTGGAGAAAGACAATTATCATATGGTTTCATTCATATGTGGAATATAAAAGTAGTGCAAGAGACCATAAGGAAGGAGGGGAACCTGAATGGGGAAAAATCAGAGAGGAAGACGAACCATGAGAGACTCTTAACTCTGGGAAACAAACTGAGGGTTGCTGAAGGGGAGGTCCAAGGGGAAGAGGTCATTCGGTGATGGGCATCAAGGAGGGCACGTGATGTGATGAGCACTGTTATACTATATGTATGTAAATTTAACTTAAATTTTAAAACTGTTTAAAAAAAAACCCACAGAAACCTCTCTCTTATTAGAATCTAACACTCCTTTAAAATAAGATCTCCCTCTCTTTGTTCACTAAGATGCTTTTTATTATTGTACTTGGTAGGTGCTTGGGTTTGTTAAAAAGTACTTTTAAATTATTGAAATTTAATAGTATGGAAATTTAGGGAAAATTCATAAAATGTAAAGGAAATTAAATTACCTTTAATTACACTGCTGAGCACTAACATTGGAGGCATTCAGTGTATTTTATTCCATTATTATAAAATTGCTTTTATTCCAGTATGTTCTATTTTTCATAAATGCTGAATATGTAATCACCTTCTATACCACATTAGACATGTGGTTTTTAGTACCTCTGTAATATTTTCTTGTATCATTTCTTTAATACTTCCCTGATTGTGGAATTTAAATTGCTTCTCTTTATAAATCAGATTTGATGAGCATCCTAGGTGTATGAATTACTAACATCCCTGAATCTTTCCCCAGGATGGATTCCTAGGCATAGAGTCACCCCATCAAAGGGTGTAAACAGTCAGTCTACCTACTTCTCAACTGAAAAGAAGCTTTGTTTAATTATCAGGAATCTTGTTTCATTACCTGGAGTCCACAGAGGACCAGCCTCAGTGTCCCTTGTCAGTGGGGGGCCCCACACGTGGAATGAATGAATGGATGGACTAATTCTCACTTTATGCCACATTCCATCTCTAACCAAAGCAGCCTGCTTTGTGGTGAAATTGTTGATATGCCAGTGGATATTTTATATCCACTTTGGCCTATAATGGATATTTAACAAGTTTAAATCATTTCTTCTCAGTAGATAGGCATTGTTTATAACTTTTTTTTTTTTTTGACAGATCCCTTTATAATCTCAGTAACCACACAGAGGTTGTTTCCCATTGGCTGGGACCCACCCTTCCCTCTCCTTCAGCCCCTGTCCTGGAGCTGTCACAACTGGGTCCTCCCCTCTTCCACTGGGGAGAGCCACCTGCCCTTCTTGCTGACTCTGGACTGTAGGTCACCATCACAGTGTTCAGTGACTTTCGTGACCCTTGGTGCCCTTCCAGCTATCACGTTGGCTGCCTTATTTGGTGTCTGTTCCCCCAGGAGCATGTAAACTCCATGATAGCACTGATTTTGCCGCCTGTCCGGTTCTGTGTTCTAGCACTTACAGCAATGCCTTAGTGCAATCAAAGCCAATACATAATTGTGAAATCAACATATAAGCAGCAGAGAGTTTAATGGTGTTTTTACTGTTCATCGGCAGGTTGATTGCCGCTGATCAATCAATGGTAAACTGGAGTCTAATTCTGGTCCATAACTATGTACATTTTTAACTGAAATTATTTTATTTTAACTGAAGTTAATTTAACTCTATGGATACAGTAATTTTGGAAGAATGTTAACATGAGAGGAACAGCATTGAAGAACATCTAAGCTGTGGTTCTCGTTCTGCATCCCTAGGTCTCTGGTCTGGATTGATAGTCTGTGTTTTCTTTCAAGCCCTTTTCTATTTGGTGCTCATCTGGAAGACAAACTGGGAGAGAGTTGCCGAGCAGGTAACCACGTGTCCTTCTGGAAGTCTGGCTCTTCCTTGTTCCCGTGACACTGGAAGGAATCTGCGAGGGTTGAAATGCTAAGGATGCCATTGGCAGCATGACCTGCTTGGATTCATGCAAAGTGTCTGAGAGCTAGGGGCAGAAGGACATCGTATGTTAGCACATTTTCTTCTTAGTACAGAGTTCATTCAGGGTCTATGCACTAGAGTCAACCATGGCAGGCATGAGCTTAGAAAATATTTTGCCTTTTTAGTATAAAAATGGGGGGGGTGTTTCCTAATTATACTGATTTGTTGTCTGTTTTCAGGCCTCTTCCTAGAAATGTTTTGGTCCATATTTTCCTAAAAAGCGGTATGCTAAATATCTATGATCAGAGGGAAATATTTGGAAGTGGAGCCAAAACCTCCAGGGAGGGGAATGGGATCTTGACTCTGTGGGCATCTCTGTGTGAATGGCGAGCCCTTTCTGTTCTGTGAAGATGAGATGGATGGGAGTTTGGCATTACTAAGGATTTGGGGGGGGGGGTGTTACTGATAAAGAGATGGAGGAGGAGTTTAGTGCACAAAGCCTCACTGTTTCAGTGTTGTCCTCCCCTCCCCCACCCTACCAGGTTTCACATGCCCTCGGTTTTCTTAATTGCAATGTATGAGGTCTTTCCAATCCTGGTGTAATTGATGGAGGGATAAATTTTATAGGACACACAGTTGGGCCATAAACCATCCTGTATGTAATAACACCATTTGTCCTTAGACTTATTCTCTATATCAGTGCTTTGGAACACTGAAGTGCATGGGGGGGGGGATATAAATATATATATATATATGTTAAATTTGCAACTGTAGGGACAAGTAGCTTTTTACATCATTGTTGTGAGCTGAGCACAGGGGAGAATAGCAGTTGACCAGTGTTATGTTCTGTTCTCATTGGCATTTCAGGACCAGAAAAGACTGTGTTAGATGTTCGAGCTCTTTAGCAGTGGTTTCATCAGTAGCTCCAGTGAAGTTTTAACAAGAGACTACTCACCTAACTTGACTTACCCTTTGTTTACTTAGTGACGCTTGTTCTCAGGCACAGGTCCGAGCTGGGCTGAAGGGGATCATCAGAGAGACCACGCCGTCACCAGCAGGTAACAGACTACGTGGTCTATGGCCCTTGTGCCTGATGGGGCAGAAACCCAGTGTAGCCAGAGTTGCTTAGTTTATGAGATCCCACCTCTGGCACGATAAATCTTGTCTCTGCCCTAATAACTGGGAGATAAGCTCAAGGTTCTCCTGAAATATTCTTTTTTTTTGTTTTTGTTTTAAAGATTTTATTTATGTATTCATAGAGATGCAGAGAGAGAGAGAGGCAGAGACACAGGCAGAGGGAGAAGCAGGCTCCATGCAGAGAGCCCAGTGTGGGACTCCATCCCGGGTCTCCAGGATCACGCTCCGGGCTGCAGGCGGCGCTAAACCGCTGCACCACTGGGGCTGCCCAAATATTCTTAATGTAATTTCACTTATACCAGCCGATAATTGATAGTCATTGTTTACAATGTATTCTTATGTAACTTTCCATGATATCCCTCTGTTGAACCTTGTACATAAGTATGTACTCCACTCTTCTCTGCAATCAGATCTGCCTGTCTTGGAGAAAGAAGTAACCGATGGAGTAATTTTACCTGATATCATCACACCCGAGAGCCAGACCCTCCAATTAATGGTAATAGAAGAAAACAACCAGTATGCTGTGCCCACCATTGGGGATGTTTTGACAGTGAGCCAGTTGGTTTTCTATCGTGGAATAGCTCTAGCTCTTGCTGTTGCTGTTCTTTTAGCAGGAATTTTAATAAGGGTTTTCAATGACCGTGGCTAAAATAGAAGAATTATCAGCAGCCCACAAACCAGACATGATAATTATCTACATGATATATGAAGCCTGGGAGGTGACCCTGTCACGTGGACAGCGGTTTTTCCCCCAGTTGCGGGTGGAAAGGATATCAATGATGCTTTCTTAGTTATCCCAAGAATCTGCACTATCCTATTTGAGATCAAGAAAGGAGTTAGAATTCTACATTTCTCCCAGATGTTAACCCTATCATGGTTTTTAAATCTGTAAATTTGATTTTCCCTGCTGGAAGTATTCTGTACTCTTCTGTTGAATATCTTCCTTCTTTCAGGAAAGTTCATTGTCCTCTAAAATTGATTGCTGATCCAGTTTTGTTTGTATTTCTCTGTTAATGTATTTAATCTTATCAGTGGGTGTGTATTAAGTGCCTGTTCAAGTCCCATCTCAGGTATAGCCATATAAACTTTTATAAAATAAACATCTTAAAATTAAAAATGTTTGCTACTAATATTTGAGGGTATGACATCTATCTAAACCAAACTTTTAGTTTTGGGCCTCTGAGCACATTTTTGTGGCAACTTCCATATTAAAAAATCAAGCTCTGTTCTCTTCTGTGGCTCAGCTCCCCAAATGTTGCCCCCTCCCAGCAGATTTTTATTTTGTTTTTTATCTTTAAAAGATTTTATTGATTTATTCATGAGAGACACAGAGGCAGAGGGAGAAACAGGCTCTCTGGGGGGAACCCAATGCGGGACTCAATCTCGGGACCCGGGTGTCATGCCCTGAGCTAAAGACAGACGCTCAACCACTGAGCCACCCAGGTATCCCTCCATTTCTTTTTTAAAAAAAGGTTTTATTTACTTATTTGAGAGAAAAACTTAAACACAAGCTGGGGGAGGGGTGGAAGGAGAGGGAGAAGAAGACTCTCACTAAGTAGGGAGCCAGCCTGGGGGTTCAATCCCAGGACCCTGAGATCATGACCTGAACCAAAGTGAGCTGCTTACCCAATTGAACCACTCAGGCACCCCTTGATTTTTATTTTAATTTAATTTCGATTACAAACGATGTTGAGCATCTTTTCATTGGTTTGTTGTCCATCTGTATATCTTTTTTTGAGAAATGTCTATTCAAGTCCTTTGCCCATTTTTCAATTGTTTTTCTATTGTTTTATATATATGTGTCTTAATATATTAAGATATACCTTAGTATATTATTAAGATATATCTAAGATATTAAGATATATTAATAATATACTATATAGTATATACACTCTTAATAATATACTAAGATATATCTTAATATTAAGACATATATAAATATATATAGTTGTAATACATACATACACACATAATGTATATTCTAGATACTAGACCCTTGTCAGAAGTAAAGTTTGCAAATATTTTCTCTCATTCTGTAGGCTATTCTTTCATTTTCCTGACAGTGTCCTCTGTTGCACAGAAAGTTTGTAATTTTTTTTGAAAGTGTAAATTTGATGAAGCTCAGTATATCTATTTTTTCTTTTGTTGCTTCTGCTTTTGTCATCATAAGAATCCATTGCCACATGATAAGAAAAAAAATGTAAGTACTCTTGGAATCTCAAAATGTTATAGAAGAATTTAAAAACAAAACAGAAGATTGTGTTTCCAGTGTGCTATGTCGGGAGGTTGGAGGTCCTCACCCCTGTCCTCAACCAAGAATTCTAGAACTTATTTCTAGTCTGTCACCTGTAACTCCAAATGTGTGTGATTTTTCTACACCAACAACCAATTCTCCAAATCTCCCAACACCAACTGGAGGTCCAGTGATTCAATTTAATTCTGACACTAAGTACCCAGAGTCAGTGTCAGACTCCATAAACTAAGGGCTCAGACCCACAAGACTGACCCCAGTTTCAGAAGGCAATTGCAAGTCCAGGCCAACCAAACTTTTTCTTACTGACCAGCTGTCAATTGGGGGTTTTCATGACCCACTTCTTGGATTTGATAATTTGCTAGAACAGTTCACAGGACTCAGGAAGATGCTTTACATATGGCTACTGGTTTATTATAAAGGACACAACTCAGGAACAGCTAAATGGAAGAGATGCACAGGGGTGACGGTGCTCAGAGGTTCCACGCCCTTTCTGGGCATGTCACCCTTCCGGCACCTCAATGTGTTCACCAATCCAGAAGTTCTACAAATCCTGTTGTTTAGAGGTTTTTATAAAGGTTTTATTACATAGGTGTAATTGATTAAGTCACTGACCATTGGTGATTAGACTCATCTCCAGCCACTCTCCCCTTGCTGGAGTCTGGGGTACAGGGCTGCAAGTTCCATCCCTCGGATCATCTGTTGGTCTTTCTGTTGACCATTCCAAGTCCTGAAGTCATCTAGGGAGCCCATCAAGAATAACTTTATTAGGATAAGCTCAGGTAAGGTTGAAAGGGGCTCATCATGAATAAGAAAAGATGCCCCTCTCACCCCGTCACTGAAGAAATCCCAAGGAATTTAGAAGCTGTTGTATCAGAAACTGTGGACACAGATATCACAATATCAAAAGAAGAATAGCTGAACAAACTAAGTATCAACCACTCTTGTTAGATCCATCAGAGAACTAAGGTCATAAGGATAACTTCTTCTTCCTTCCAAATTGAAGAGACAGGCAGATACAGCTTATTAGAGCAGAGGCAGATGGAGCCAGTAAGAGATCTTGAAACTTAAATTGTAATTGACAAATTGCTGGAGGCTTAATGTGTTCAAGCTTATGGGGGTTTTGTCTTAGGTGGGCCCCATAAAATTCCATGAATTTTGTCTTTACATTCTCAGGGAGAAAAATCCTTTCATGCTTCTATAGGAGATAAGGGAAATGGAACCATTTAAAAATATGCCCATAGGGGCACCTGGGTGGCTCAGTGGTTGAGCATCTGCCTTTGGCTTAGGTTGTAATCCCACGGTCCTGGGATCAAGTCCCACATCAGGCCCTTCAAAGGGATCCTTCTCCCTCTGCCTGTGTCTCTGCCTTTCTCTCTGTTCTCTCATGAATAAATAAATAAAATACTTAAAAAAATAAAAATATTCCCAGAGCATTCTGTGCTTTTTAACCAAAGCCTACACTCAAGGGAAACTATTTTACCAGAGGCCAGCTACCATGGGTTTTATCAGAATCTAACCTGATGGAAGGGAAATACTAGACTTTAGCCCCACCAGCCTTCCACAAAGTGAAGCAAAATACCCAACTTCACCCCCTCTACCCTTCTTCTCTCTTTGTAGGGGATGGAGTGAAACTGAGAAGCATTCAGTAAAAGTATGAAGGGAACCGTCCAGAGAAACATGCTCTTTAAAAGACTGAGACCTTATTCAACTATAGAACACTTCCCTCCCCCACACCTTAGCATCACATCCATGGAGCTCCTGTATAATACCAAGAGATTACAGCTGAAAGAATGACGTCTCAGACCTTACTTAGGAACTCTCTAGGAAAGCCCAAAGACAATAGAAGAGACAACATCAATGGGCCAGGGGTAATTTTAGCCCCTGGCAGCTATGGTCACAAAAACAATAGACAGAGTGTATCTCTCCCAAGCAGATAAACCTAAAACCTCACATCAAAGACCTATTGACCTTAATTCCTTTTATCCAGTTCATCAGGCCCAGCTTTCAATGAGTAATTGTAAGGCATGCTTAAAGGCAAAACAGAGTTTGAAGAGAGAAAGCAAGCATCAAACCAAACTCAGATATGGAAGAGATTTTGGAATTATCAGACTGGAAATTTTAAATAGGATTAATTGCTAAGGGTCTATTGGAAAAAGTGAACAACATGCAGGAATAGATGAGTAATGTAAACTAGAGAGAAATTCTAAGAAAGTATCAAAAGGAAGAGTTAGAAATAAACACTAACAAAACAAAAATTCCTTCTATGGGCTTTTTAGTAGACTAGATATGATCAAGGAAAAAATCAGTGAGTTTTTAGAGATATCAATAGAAACTTCCTGTCTTAGCCTGTTCAGAGGGCTCTAGCAAGTACCACAGACTGAGTAGCTTATAAGCAACAGACATTTACTGCATACAGTCCTGGAGTCTGGGAAGTCCAAGGTTAAGTTGCAAGCATGGTTTCATCCCATTGAGGGCCCTCTTCCTGGATCCTCACATGGTAGAAGGGACAAAGGATACCTCTGGGGCCTCTTTTAGAACACTAATCTCATCCATTCTCCTCCCAAAGGCCCTACTTCTTAATTTCATCATTCTTGGGGATTAGGGTTAAACATGAATTTCGGGGAGATTTACTATGCTGAGTGAAATAAGTCAATTGGGGAAGGACAGTCATATGGTTTCACTCATATATGAAATATAAGAAATAGCGAAAGGGATTGTAAGGGAAAGGAGGAGAACTGAGTGGGAAAAATTAGGGAGACAAACCATGAGAGACTCCTAACTGGGAAACAATGGGTTGTGGAAGGAGAGGTGGGGGTGGGGGGATGGGGTAACCGGGTAACAGGCAATGAGGAAGGCACTTGATGGGATGAGCACTGGGTGTTATACTACATGTTGGCAAATTGAATTTTTTAAAAATGTAAAAAATAAATAGGCTATATCACACACACACACTCAAATAATGCAAAGAGAAAAAGAATGGGGAAACAACATCCAAGAACCATGGGACAAATAGAAAAGGTGTAACGTGCAGTTAATGGTAATATCAGAAGAAGAAAAAGAAGAACAGAAGAAATAGTTGACATTAACAACCACAAATTTTCCAAAATAATGACAAACACCAAACTACAGATCCAGGAAACTTAAAGAATACTGAGTAAGATAAATGCCCCAAACTCTACACCTAAGTATATTATATTTAAGCTGCAGAAAGTTGAATATAAGAGAAAATCTTGAAAAGCCAGAGGGGGAAAACACTACCCATAATAGAGCAAGCAGAAGAATTAGATCAGACTTCTCTGCAGAAACTAGGCAAACGAGAGTGGAGTGGAATATTTAAAGTATTGAAAGTAAAAAACCATCAACCTAGAAATCTGTATCTAGGGAAATTATTCTTCAAAAATGAAAAGGAAATAGAAACTTTCTCAGAAAAATAAAAGTTGAGGAAATTTATCATCAGTACACCTGCCTTGCAAGAAATCTTAGTTCTTCAGAGAGAAGAAACATGATATACATCAGAAACTTGGATATACGTATACACCCAAGAAAGGAAGAGCCTTAGAAAAGAAATGAAGGGAAAATTAAATCTTTTTCTTCTCATATTCTTAATTGATCTAATGGAGGAAAAGTTTGTTGAAAATAATAAGAACAACAGTGCATTTGGCTATTTTAGCTTAAGGATAACTAAATGAGTAACAGCAGTGTTACAAGGATTGGGAGGGAGGTATTGGGAATACTCTGTTATAAGGCATTTGCACTATCCTTGAAGTGTTATTTTAAAGAGGAATTAGAGGGGTTGCCTGGGTGGCTCAATTAATTAAGCATCTGA